TGATAAATTTATTTAAAGGTTGTATCTGCTGGGTTGATAGTCACAAAGAGTTAGAAAGAAAATACAAAGGAAATTTATTCTTCTTGCATGTAGACTTCATCTCTCATATCAGTTAAACAGAAATATCTCAAAAGAATGAATATTAAACTAGAGAAAATCGTTTAAAAGATCAGATTAATATTACAGCAACACAGTGTTTCTTTCCTGACACACTCTTGGTTCTCTCTAAAAGGTCATTTGTCTGCACTACCAAACTCAGAGCTGTATCTTACACTTCCTTTCTCTTTTCCTCAGCACCTAACACAGTGTCCAGTGCATAGCTGGTCCTCAGTTAATACTTGTTGAATAATTAAGATTTTAAAAAAAGAAAACAGGTGGTTATAATGGAGGGGGTGGTGTGAACATCAAGTCAAACAAGATTGAGTGAAATTATTATTCAAGACTACATCGGCTTTCTATTACTGCTGTGGCAAATTACAACTAACTTAGCAGCTTAAAACAATACACATTTATTATCTCATGGTTTTATAGGTTAAAAGTCCAACATAAATCTCACTGTGCTAAAATCAAGGTGCCAGGTGCACAGCATGCCTTATGGAAGATTTAGGGGAGATTTTCTTGCCTTGCCTTTTTCACCTTCTGCAGGCTACCAGAACTCCCTGCGGAAGGTGAAAAAGGTAATTTGAATGGCAGGTCAAGTCCTTCTGGTACTGCCATCAGATCGCCCGCTGACCGCAGCCCAAAAAGTTTATCCGATTTTAAGGACCCATGTGATTAGATAGAGTCCACTCAGCCAACCCAGGATATCTTCCCTTCTCAAGATCCATACCTTTAATCCCATCTGCTAACTCCCTTTTGCCATGTAACATACTCACAGGTTCCAAGGGCTAGAGTGTAGACATCTTTAGGGGACCATTATTCTGCCTGCTACAGGGAAGTCACACAGAATGACTAGAATTACAAAGAAAAAAACAAGCAACTGCCACATGTCCCTGGTCTTCTCACAAGCAGCATGAAATATAAATGCTTAAGCTTTAGGTTTGAATAGTTTCCTAGATCTATTTTTAAAATGGCTTTTTTTTTCTTAGGATACTAATAATATATGTGAACTCTTAATAGTTTGGAAACGCAAAAAACTTTGAAGTAAAAAAAAAAACCACCCTAAATCCCACCAAGCAGTCATAACCAGTTACTATTTATGTGTCTATTCTTCCGATATTATGTAAATGCATATCAAAATTATATATGCATTAAAAATATTAACTTATTCTAAATGATTCTTTAAGTATCCTATGTCCCCTCTAAATATTATCCTAAATATGTTCTCATGGCATTAAAGATTTTTCAAAAAAGAGTATTTCTCCTCACTCTACCACATTTGCATCATATTATTGCCTCTGAATTTATGTGTTTATTATCCTATTGTTGAACATAAAAGGGTTATTTTTAGGCCTTTGCATTTATAAATAGTAGGTTTAGAAAAAGGTGTATTCAAAAATCTGTGTATACAACTCTGATTATTTCCTTAAGGGTGTAAATGAGGAATTATCGCATCAGAGACTATTTTAAGACCACTGGTATTTGTCACCTCATTTCCCTCCACAATGACTACACCAGATTTACCCCCATGAGCAGTGTACAAAAGTGCCCTTTGCAATGAACTCTGAGCAGTGTTTACCAGTGCTATGGACTAAATTATGGCTGTTTCCCCAAAATTCGTATGTTTAAGCCCTAGCCACCAATGTGATTAGATTTGAAGATAGGGCTTTTAGGAGGTAATTAAGGTTAAATGAGGTAATAAGGGTGGGGTTCTAATCCAATAGAATTGGTGGCCTTATAGGAAGAGGAAGAGAGAAAGAGATCTCCTTCACATACATACCACATGCAAATGCACCAAGGAAAGGTCACATGAGGACATAGTGAGAAGTCGGCTGTCTCCAAGCCAGTAGGAGAGCCCTCACCAGAAACAGAATTGGCTGTCACCTTGAACCTGGATTTTCCAGCCTCAGGAACTGCAAGAAAATGAATTTCTGTCATTTAATCTACCTAGTCTATGGTAGCTTTTTATGGCAGCCTGAGCTAATGAGCTAATGAAAAATGATGTCCTTGTTCTATTAATTGGTGATGATTTGATTTCTAGAAGGATGGTCATTTTGTTTACAGGCCACTTTTCATGTCTCTGGGAAAATTCAGAGTCAAATATTTTTGGACTCTAAAACAGAATGTTACAAAAATCATAAGGCATAGAGGACTGAAATTCAACAGCACTTCCACAGAGCTAGAATTGTGTTCTTTAGAATAATGCATTTTTAAATGTCTGCATCAATCAGAACAAATGCTTCAATCCATTTACATAAGCCCTTTTTGATTTTAGTCTCCATTTATCTATTTTTAAAGGCTTAAAGATCTAGCTACAAGAGTACCAAGAAAACTCTTTTGCCTTTGTAGATGAAGTTCACAACATGTGTGCTAAACTATTTGATTCCTTCAAGCACCATATGAGTTAGGTGGTGTTGAGGTTAATTGGGTAGTATGGATGGTGGAAGGAATTGATTGACTTGAAGGACATGAAGATGCAAGGCTAGTGCAAGAAACCATGTGTGAAGCCAGTGCATTTGGAGCCACATGTAAAGGTCACTGAGGCCTTCTCGAACAATTTATAAAATAAGAATGGGTGGGAGGAAATTGAAGACAATTTTACATCCTTGTGACTAGAAAGGAGATGTGAGCTAAGAAGAGAGTTCAAACATGACCAAATGAAGCAGAGGCTAGCAGCCCAGGCAACAATACTCCTTTCTTGGTGGGTAATGACATTATAATGAGTAACTGCAGACAAACAAAAGTCAACAGTTCTTACACGCAGAGTAGCACCTAACACAGCAAGTAGTACCTAGGGGAAGGTCTGGGGAGGAATTTGAAAAGGGTTTCTAAGATAGGAAAGGGTTAAGTCTTGTTATTGTACGGAAAGATTGTATCTACTCAGAGGGATGAGAGTAATCACAAATATACAGTGGTTATTACGCCCATTATATAGAAAATGTAACTGAGGCTCAGAAACCTCAAATAGCTCCCCTAGAGTTACACAATTGTTAGTGCTGAAATGTGAACTCAAACCTTCAGACTTGAAGCTGGAAATGAATTTCCTTGGCTTCAATGTCTCCATCTCAAAAACGACTGTATTTTTGGGAAGGTTGCTTCAGAGTTCATGTTCTATTGGCCATTCCACTGATTCTGCATCTCCTTGACAAACGAATCTTGGGCCAAAAGTTCATTGTGGGGACACTGTTGGTGAGTACATTAATTTGATCAGATGTATTCTCATTGGAAATAATATTTAAAATGGTTTACTGAGTTTGGAGGATGCAGATGTTAAATAAATAAAATTGAAATATCCCCTTTCTCTGTTGCCTAGAACTTTACCCATTTCCCTTCTCTCCTCACTAGCACCCTGGTGGCTTCCTCCTACCTCACAATTTCTTTTCATGCTCCTTTGGTGGGTCTTTTGTCTCTGCCTTCACCTCTAAATGTTGAGCGCCTCAGAGGTCTATCCTGTGTCCTGTATCTTTTGTCCACACTCTAACTGGGCAAACTCATCATGTCCAATAGCTTTAAAATATTCACTCCCAGGATTCTAGATTCCTGTATCCAAAAGCCAACTAGATATCATTATGCGGAAGCTTAATAAGTATCTCAAACTCAACATGACCCAAGAGAATTCTCTCTTTTGCCAATCAGGTTTTTTCCAGTCTCATATATCTCAGTAAATGGTTTTACCACCCACTCAGTGCACAAGTAATTATTCTTGATTACTGTTTTATAGCTTCCCTCACCTTCCACACCCAATACTTCTGGAACAGCAAGTCCCGTGAATTCTATTTTCAAACCACCTCTCAAACCTTTCAACTTTTCCCCATCTCCACTGGTGTCACCACCCTTTGTCACCTGGGGCTAGTACAAAAGCCTCCCAACTAGTTTTCTCTGCTTCCACACGAATTGTTTTGTAAAAATATAAATCACATTAGTTCTGGGCTCAAATCTCTCTGATAACTTTTCATTGCACTTAGATTAAAAATCCATCCTTCTTAATCTGGTTTATAATGTCCTTCATGAGCTAACCTCTGCTGACCTCTGAGACCTCATCTGTCCATTCACCCATTGGCCCACTATCCTCAGCTACACTGGACATTTTTCTATCCTGACACTCACCTAGCTTATTCTTAACTAAGGACCTTGACTCTAACTTAACTCTGTGCCTGGAATGTCCCTCTTCCTCCACATTCTTGTGGATAGCTCCTTCTTGTTATTTACATGTCATCTCAAATGTCATGTTTCCAGAGAGACTTTCCCTGACCATCCCATCTAATTAAGGCCTATTTTTCTTACATAATGATTTGAGTGTTTGTTCACTAGAGTAGTTCCATGAGAGCAGGAAGCAGATCTATCTTATTGAGGACACTCCTGGAATCAAACTATCTGCGGAAGAGGAAACCGAGAATCCAGCCATAGTCTTAGAAGATGGGGGAGTTGCTAATGGAAAGAATCAGGTCTCTGAAAGACTTCACAGAACACAGTACCACACTTTCTGACATCCCCTACCAACCTCATTCGATTGTGACATAGGCAAGAAACAAATCTTGGTTGTGTTTGCCACTGGAATTCCAGGGCTGTTTGTTACAATGGTTAACCTCTTCTGACAAATTTCACAAAATTCCATTTACCCTCGCTTTGCCTCACTACGTATTATTCAGTTTAAGATTTGGTTCACTGTCCTCTAGGAAGCCTTCCTTGACTTCCTTGTGGCTGGCTTTTGTGTTCCCACGGCACCATGTGCACTGTTTCATCACGTACTAACCACATTGTATTATATACTGTCTCCTCATGTGACTAAGTTTTTCCTGAGGTCAGAAACTATATATTTTTCTTTTTTGTGTTTTTATGGCCCATTACAATGTCTGGCACCACAATAAATCTTTGTTAGATAAATAAGCCGTAGACAGCAAGCAGTTCAGGTTTTAATGGAGGGCAACAGTATTTCTTTGCAATGGTTAACAATACTAGTAGAAACATTTAGAATATGAAATACAAAGTGGGGAAAGGCTTTATGAGTATGAATTTATTTGAATGAAGAAAAATTTCAGTGTTACTTAGGCTGAATAAAGACACAATGATCATTAAGTAATTCTAGAAAATAGAGATAATTCTAGATAAATGATCCTTATAAGATTCCTTTGATTCCTGCTAATTGCAATCCAATACATAAATATTGAAGACTTAGTATGAGCAAATTACTCTTTTTCATATGACAAAGAAGAAAATACTTCTGCCAGTTAACATTTTATAATTCTATGACCTTATGATTCTGAACACCTACGTAAGATATTTTTAAACCTTGACAGTTACATTGGGAGATTTACATCAAGAACCAGCATTATGGAGATAGAATTTGCATGGAGTTCTATCATCAAAGTTTTACTACAAACTGGGGCCACTGGGTCATTTTTAGATACAGACCATTGGTTAGTGGCTTCTCCACAGAGTGAACTGGATAGTCATGTGCCACTCGGCAATTTTCAAGGTATGAGTTTGTTCTGTTTGATGTTCTGTCAATTTATCTAGGGGACAAGCAGCCAGATGGTTAATTGCCCTTCCTTAAGCACAGACACACTCACAGAAAAGGTGTGAGGAAGGACCCCTCCGAAAGGAGTCTCTCACACAGCAGGCTGAGCCGCTGTACAGAGTTGAGATTGTTGACCCACTGATTGTGCCTGAAAGGCTTTTCAGCCACACAAAACCCTGGGCTTCCCTATTAGCATATCAGAGGTGGCACAGTGGTGGGAAATACTGCAGGCAACAAAGGATGTGGCTCAGTGGCATTGTCTCATTGGTGCTTACAGAAGCAGAAAAAATGATAATCGGGCCAGAGTTGTAGTGATGGACAGATGTTGACATATTTTCTTGGGCGACCAATGTCTTCCACTCCCCCTCCATCAGTTGATCCATTCTCAAGACTCCCTACCCCTCCAAGGCACAGTTCCTCAACCAATACACAAGGAAAAGCCACGACACAATCAAAACCTCTCTTGAGCTGAAACGAAGACACAGTTTCAGCTTTAACTTGAACCATGCCTGGAAGGGATTTGTCATTTTTCTCAGACTTGAAAGTCTTATATGGAACATAACTCGATGATAAATAGGAGAGTCAGCTGCCAGTTACTAATACCATCATAGAGACTGAGTCACTGTTGATGTCACCACGCCTCTTTGCAGGATCAGCCATCTTATTATTTTATACTGAAAGGGAGAAAAGAGGTTTAGTGAAAAAGTCACTTTACATTCTTATTGTCCTAAATTATTTCCCATCTCTGAAGTTTGAGACCAGTGTTCTATGCTCTATAGCAATGGCTCTCAACTGGAGGTGATTTTGACCCCCAGGAATTGTGGCAATGTTTGGAGGCATTTTTTTTGTGGTCACAATTGGGTGAGGGGGTGCCACTGGCATTTAGTGGATCGAGGCCAGGGACGCTGCTAAAGATGCTACTATGCACAGGACAGCACCTATGATAAAGACTTATTTGGCTAAAAATGTCAATAGTGCCGAGGCTAAGGAACTCTATGGCCTTCTTTGTGAAGCTAATTTACAAATTCTTACTGAGTCAAATTGCTATTGATAAATGGGCACCTTGAGGCACTTATAGCCCCATGCTCACTATATTGATTTAGAATATTGAACAGTTCTTGACAAAGAACAGGGCAGAAATTAAAATTTCTTGTCCTTGGCTGCAATATTGAAAGATTTTATCTAAGCAGTGGGTGTAAAGTTAGAGAAAATTGTATATTGAGCACTGAGGGGTAAAAATTTTCCTACATGCAGTAAATTGACTTTCTTACAGCCAACAATATGTCTTTTACTTCACGCTCAGCTGAGTCTTAAATATGCTCCAAATGGCATAAAATTTGATTGAAGAATTCTTCCTCCTCACTTGGAAATATTTATAACCTCTTGGAAAATGACACACTGGGACACACTACATGTTGTTCAGTTATATATATTATATATAACATTAATTACATATATAATATCAAATTTACATTTAAAGTCACATGTATTAGGTTTGTGTTTAATATCATGTTCGCTTGGCTTAAATTTTTTTTCAGCTCAATATTTACAAATCAAAATATTTGTAATTGTATGTATACATATATATATGTCTAGATAGATAGATATGTCTAGAGAAACATATATTGTTTTCCTTAGGTGCAAGTTATTCTATCCAGGTAACTACATGTTGACCAAACCACTCCAGATCTAAAGCACTAAAGATTATTGGTCACTGGTTGTTATATCCATTAGTATACAATTTTGATAACTGTCTTTTCCACAGGTTAAAGTAGATTTTGTATGCCAGTAAAATAATTGTGGATGATTATAATGGACTTTATAAAGAAGAATATAAAATGGAGACCAAATTAATTGTCTCAGTCTACCTTCAACTATCTTAAGTTATGGTCTACATGATACACGGTTTTGTTCTTAAAAGTTTTTGATTAAAATTACCCTATTGTATTAGAATTCATCAAGCCTAAAGCACTTTCAAATTCACTTCACTCTCTGATGAAGACACTTTACCATTTGTAAAAATATTTTTGCTTCCTGTAAAGCACAGTGTTATGTATTCTAACACAGTGGTTCCTATCAGAATCAATTGGGTCCTAAAGGCATACTCATTTCTTAGGCCCTGCTCAGACTGGTTGAATCAGAATATAAGAGGATAAGGCCCAGGTATTGATATTAAAACAAGCAAAACAACAATAACCCCACACATACATGCGTGCACACACACACACTCACACACACCCACACGCCAGGCCATTCAAACATACTGCCATGGTGGGAAGGCTGGCTGAAAACTCAGATCTAAAGCACAGACTATCGTAGGCAACAGAATTGGCAGGTAAACTGGGAAAATATTGCCCCATAGAGATAGTAGGGACATTTCCCTGTTTTGGCCTTGAGGGGAGGTGGAGGGCAGGAATAGCCCAGGAGAATGAGTTTGGTATGTAACAATTTAGCAATGATTCACTTTTTAAATTGCCATCCTGTATGATAAAGTCTTCCTGGGGAACTATAATGCAAGAATGCTGGGATCCAGGTGGGGTTCTTAGTGCTGGCTCTTTCCCCACCAGCTGTGGGTGAGCTCTGTGGGTGAGCTCTTCCTTTACTCTTCCCAGCCTCAGTTTACTCACCTGTAAAATGAGGGGGCTTGGTTATGATTTCTACTGTTTCCGTCCAACTTAGAAAAATAGCTATGAGTCATAATTATGAACTTAGAAAAAATTAAACCGTTTAACATTGTATATTTTTCATAAATTCATAAAGCGCTGTATGGTAAAATGAAAAAGAATTTATAAAGGATTTTTTTGGCAATTTGTAATTCAGACATAAATTTGATCATATCAGGAAAATGGGCCTAGTGTTTTGGCTGTTTTCTACAGCTAAATATATCTCATACTGGAGATTAGCAAATTTTTCTGTAAAGAGGCAGATAGCAATTATTTTAGGCTTTGAAGGGTAGGGCCACAGAAAAGAAAATTGCAAAACCTTTAAAAATATATATCATTAAAAAATGTGAAAAATAGGGCCAGGGACAGTGACTCATGTCTATAATCCCAACACTTTGGAAGGCTGAGACAGGATAATTGCTTGAAGCCAGGAGTTTGAGACCAGCCTGGGCAACACAGCAAGACCCTGTCTGTATGAAAGTAAAAAATAAAAACAATTTGCCCAGTGTGTTGGCACATACCTGTCGTCCCAGCAATTATGGAGGTAGAGGCGGGAGGAAAGCCTGAGCCCAGGAGTTTGAGGCTGCAGCGAGCTATGATTATGCCACAGAACTCCAACCTGGGTGACAGGGCAAGACCCTGGCCCCTGTCTGTGAAAAACAGGTAAGGGCAGGGTTTGATGATCCCTGTGTTAAACAATTAGAACATATATTTGGATAAAAACAAAATTACTTGCTTTTATATAACAACAGTTGTTAAAAGCTATTGCTATAGGGAGAGATTGAACCCAGGCAATAAGGAGACCTGCTGAAGAAGTTTTTACTCAAAGCCTGCATGGAAGCCACCATCATGTGCCCCCATGACAAACTCATCCTAGTTTGCCAGCGACTGGCCCAGTTTAAGCACTGAGAGTCTCAAGTCCCAGGAAATGAGGATGACTGGTTATTTTACATCTGTGACTCTTGGAAAGGTTTCTTTACGGAAAATCTAGGATCAAATTGAAAGGGAAAAAGCTTCAGATGGAAATGCTTTCAGGAGCTTTACCATATAAACAACAGGCAAAGATCCCAGCTGGAAAACTTTAAAGGGAAAAATTGTAAGAGAATATTTGCAGTATTTTTTTTTTGGCTTGAGCTCAATGGATTCTAAATCTACCTACCTATTAACAGCATCAGTTCAACAGGCTGTAGATGAGGAAAGTCCTTATTCACAAGGTGTGTCAGGTCTTTTTTGTAGAATCAGTTTATACATCCTCTGGATATGATAAATCCTGGGCATTATGATGAAACACAGGCCAACGTTACTACTCAGAAGTTACAGGATTTAGAATTATTTCCTAGGTTTGTCCGAAGAGGACATGTGACGTGAAACTAGCTGTGACCCTAATTATGAATGTAAAGATTACTGGTAGAGACTACCTCTGAAACAATCCAGAATAAACTAGGAGCAATTTTCTCAACATATTATTATGTGCATCTGTGATATTATTGTAATTTGAATCTTTAAGACTAGAAGCTCAAAGCTCAAAAGGTGATTTTCTCTGAGGAACTTGTCTTGAAATTAAGTACATGAGAAGCTGTGTTATAACCACATGGTTTTCCAGTTGTACTTCATCCAAACAGGAATCCTTCTTAAAATATAAATATTAAAAAGCAGATCTAATACTTCAAAAGAGGATGCCATCAGCTAAAACAAAATCAAGAATATAATTTAGAACCTTTTACAATATTCTTTCATTTTATTCAGTTTATCGAAATTTTAATCCCGTGTTTGAAGCTTCCAATGTGTTCTTTATGATTCACCCTATTTGGGGTCATAAAAGCACCTTTTGGCCGGGTGTGGTGGTTCTCTCCTGTAATCCCAGCACTTTCGGAGGCCAAGGCGGGCAGATCACTTGAGGTCAGGAGTTCAAGACCAGCCTGGCGAATATGGCAAAACCCTGACTCTACTAAAAATACAAAAATTAGCCAAGCATGGTGGTGGGTATCTGTAATTCCAGCTACTTGGGAGGCTGAGGCACGAGAATCACTTGAACAGCTAAGGCAAAGATTGCAGTAAGCTGAGATCACACCACTGTACTCTAGCCTCGGCAACAGAGCAAGATTCCATCTAAAATAAAATAAAATAAAATAATAAAATAAATGCACCTTCTTTTCTGGGCTTCAGGTCAACTTGCAATCAAAAACCATTGCTTCCTTTAAAGCTGTGACTATAGGTAACTCTGTTTAGAAAGTATTTCAGCAGAATTATTGACACTGGAAAATACTCAGCATCTAAATGGGCCTTCTTTCCTTCTGCATGGTATAAAATTGAGGGAAAAAAGGGGAGACCTATTTAGGTAGCAGTTTGATGTTTTAGTTCTACAAAAAACACAGTGACAAGTGTCCTTTTCTAGATGAAAACAAACATTTTATTTTGCTCTAAAGAGAATGTATGTAGCATTAGGAACTCAAACCACGAAAGTTCAGAATGGTTTAAGTGTTTGTAAGGAAAGGAAAAAAGGACCAGGGGCCGTTAGGGTGCACTGAGCATGGTCTTGGAGGAATTTTAAGGAAATAGAAAGCATTGCTTCACCTCCTTTTTCCCGGAATGTGTCAGTGTGTATTGCCATATAAATATATTAATAAATATGCATGCAATATCTGTGTTAAAGGTTCTATTAGTTCCTACTTACCTACCCCTATTCACTCAAATCCAAAAGACAAGTGGACATCAACTTCCTTTTTTTTTCTTTTTTTTTTGAGGCGGAGTCTCGCTCTGTCGCCCAGGGTGGAGTGCAGTGGCCGGATCTCAGCTCACTGCAAGCTCCGCCTCCCGGGTTTACGCCATTCTCCTGCCTCAGCCTCCCGAGTAGCTGGAATTACAGGCGCCCGTCACCTCGCCCAGCTAGTTTTATGTATTTTTTAGTAGAGACGGGGTTTCACTGTGTTAGCCAGGATGGTCTCGATCTCCTAACCTCATGATCTGCCCGTCTCAGCCTCCCAAAGTGCTGGGATTACAGGCTTGAGCCACCGAGCCTGGCCAACTTCTTGTTTCACTTAGTGAAATCAGGAAATTCTTATTCATTTTTCATAACATTTTATTTATTATTATTACTGTTTTGAGACAGAATCTCACTCCATCGCCCAGGCTAGAGTGCAGTGGCACGATCTCAGCTCACTGCAACCTTGACCGCCTGGGTTCAAGCAATTCTTGTGCCTCGGCCTCCTTCATTCTCCTGAATAGCTGGAATTACAGGCATATGCCACCATGCCCAGCTACTTTTTGTAATTTTTTAGTAGAGACAGGGTTTTACTATGTTGGCCAAGCTGGTCTCAAACTCCCGACCTCAAGTGATCCGCCCACCTCAGCCTCCCAAAGTGCTGAGATCACAGGCATGAGCCACCACGCCTGGCCCAGTTTTCATAACATTTTAATACATAAATTCCAGTACCACTGGTCGTACGCAAGGTAAATTTTTCTAAATTATTTTCTGAGGTAAACATAAATATGGGAACCTTTTTTTCTTAGTGGATCTTGTAAATCGGTGAGGACTTACCTTGCTCTCCTACAAAACTTTCCAAGGAACAATAGCTAACGTTGAGCCCCACACAATCCCAACCTTGAGGCCTGAGTCACATGGCCTTGCTGTCCCTGCCCCGTATGCCTTCTATTGCCCCTGTGGATCCAATTCCCGTTTTAAATATTTTTCACATGAGGATCTATTCTATGGCTCCCTGTTGCCCTTTCCTCCTAGGGTCGCTCAGAACCACCACTCCCTCTCATGGTGCCCTGTAGACTGCTTACTGAACCAGAGTCTCTCAGCTAATGCTGGGGCTGTAACTCTGCAAACCTCATTGCCCCATTGCCATCTGACTCCCTTTTGTGGCTCTGCCAATAGGGGGTGCAAAAGGAGGTAGAAGCTTGGAGGATGGATAACTTCCCATTTGCTTGTTGGTCCCATGAATGCCATCTCAGGCAGGCTTCTTTGCCCTGGCCACAATTGGTTCCCATTTCAGCATCATTTTTCAGCCCCTTAAAGGTACCAGCACCAGCTGATTGAGTGAGAGCTGCTTCCTCAGAGGCCGGGGCCCCAGCCCTTCGAGGGTTCTTCTCATAGATTTTAGGTTCTGTTAACCCCAAGTTCTTCCATTTCCCCCCCACCCCCCGCCGCAGGCCTAGGAGTGGCTGTTATCTTCAGTAGTAGCAGCTACCTCTGTTACCTCCATGTTTCCACCTTCTCTTTTCAGTCCTCTAATGCCTATTTAACTGAGTCTCTATATTCAATATTAAGATTAAAATAACAGGTGTGTTTCTCCCTTTCTCAATCACATTTTGATTGAGACTCAGCTCTACTATAGGCCTCTAAGGCTCTGATTTCTCAAACATTCCACGTGGTGATGGAAGGGAGCCTGGTAGCATTCCTTCCCATTTGTCCAGGCTTTACTGTCTCCTTGTTGAGATCCACGTACTTACATAAAATGACCCCCAAAGAGGAATCCTCCTTTTGGGACCCCGCCTCCCCACTCCTCACACACATTTCTACTGCAACTCTGTGACACCTTCATGGATTGACCACACACCAAGGGTTCTGCCCAAGGGTTCTCTTTGATATTTGCTCAGAAAAACCTATCTCCCTATCCCAAATAGCCTGGGCTCCAGGGCATTCTTATCACTCATTCCATCCTTCACAAGATAACTGACATTTTACTCAAGGTGGCTGCTTAGTAGAGAGTTGGCCCCTGCCCAGAAGGACATGCCTTAGCTGATCCAAGGACTCTAGATAAGCCCTAAGATTCCTCATTTTGGCCCCCAAGGCACTTTTTCTTAGATACACTTACATTCTTAAAGCTAAAGTGGACCTTCGAAATTATTTATCATCTATTCTAACCTTTCATTCTAGGGAGCATCTATAAATTATATATTTTTAAAAATTACAATAGTAGATGAATAAAACAAAAAGAAATGGTTAAATAGATAATTCAGAGAATATGAATTTTTTCCATGTCTGATGCTGTAAGGCAGTCAAGAAATCCAAAAGAAATATTTTATATATGTATGCATTTTTTAAAATAAAAATATATACTTTAAAATTTTTATCTTTAACCTGGCTCTACACATTGAGAGTTACCATCTCAATAAATGTCAGGCTCGGGAACTTGTAAATTCTATAGAGAACTAAAGCAATTTTCCTGTAATTATTCAGCAGCTGTCATTCCTGGAAACTGTAATTGCAGTGAAATAGAATGTTCCCAAATCATGATGAGGGGAGGCAATGTTCTGTGATCTGGGGCACGCAATGCCAATGAGGAATACAGCATATAATCTGTGTATCTAGAATATAAAATGGAAATACTGCTAGGGCATATGAGGCCACCATTTGTTCAATTATTCAAAATCTCTTATAATGTTTTGGTCTCTCAAGCATCCATGGCCACATTCTGATATGATTCTGTTTAATCCTCTGCATGTTCAAACCTGATCTCTGATTATGGTATTCTCATCTCTATAAAAACAACCACAAAGTGTGGTTAACAGATAGAAAAGTACCGCTAGATAGGAGGAATAACTTCTAGTCTTCTGTAGCACTATTGGGGGTGGCTATGATGAACAACGATTTATCGTATATTTTCAGCTAGCTAGAAAAGCGGATTTTGAATGTTCTCACACAAATAAATGATGAGTATTTGAGATGATAGATATGCTAATTACCCTAGTTTGATCATTATACATTGTATACAGGTATCAAAATATCACATTGTACTATATGTACAATTATGTGTCAATTTAAAATAATAATAAAAGTAAACCCCCCCCTTATGTACACTGAAAATGCACTTTTAAAAATGAATTCTGAGTTTCTTTTCCCGATGAATGTAAAACAACAGAGTTGAAAAACAGGGTTGATTCTCTATAGTTATTTTTAAATATCCTCGTCCCATTTAGTGCTGTGGTTATCTACTAGCTATCTATTGACATATAACAAACTACCTGAAATCTTAGCAGCTTAAATCAGTCAACATCTTTTATTTCACAGTTTCTGTGGGTTAGGAATTCATGAGTACCTTAGATGGGTAGTTCCAACTCAGGAGCATTCATGAGGCTGCAATCAAGCTGTGGACCAGGGCTGCCGTCATCTGCCTATTTCTAAGTATTTCATTCTTTTAGTTGCTACTGTTAACTGGGTTTTTCCATTATTTTCTTCAGTTTGTTCATTATTAGTGTAAAGAAATGTATTAATTTTTGTGTTGATTTCGTATCCTGCAACTGCTGAATTAGTTTAGTAGTTTC